CACACACATACCAACATTCCCGTCACCTGCTCTCACACTTTCTATTTCAACTCTCTCCCCTCGCTGCAGTTTCCTTTTAATTCTATCCATCTCACTCTCTTACTGTTGCACCCCTTTAGGGAGTTTGGTAAGCATCAGCGGGGAGAGAACTGTGCCAGTTTTTTTTTCTGATAAAGGTGTGACAATGTACACTGATAATGAAGCAAACAATGTGCATGAGGTGCACACCAGTGAACAGTGGATTCACGAGGCCTAATCAGTAAGTTTTTACATGTAGAGATAAATCAATATGGAAAGTGTGCTAAGCCCATCCCGAGCTCCTCTGGGACTTCTATTAGATGCTTTTACATGATGGGTCTTTATGTTATTATAAATTGCAGTTGCTGTGCACTCTTGCCAAACTGCAATAGAAATTGATTTAGGAAAACGTTCTGTAATCCACTTAACTTTACGACTAACAAACTAGAATATTGATCTCCAGAAGCTGAACATGTGTTGGAGACATGATCCCGTGTATGCATGTTTGATTTAAACTCAGATACTCTACTTGTCCTCCATGTTTAATTTTTGTCTTTTTTTTTCATAGTTTGTCTATGAGAAATTGTCTTACAATTGTGAAGAGGAATAAAAATTATGCGTATTCAAAATATAGCAAAAAGAAAATCTGAAACAAAGTAGATTCAAGCTCTTTTACTTTGATGCACTCAGTACAATAAACTGCCTTCAGTCACCTGATTAGTAAATAAAGTTCAAATGCACATCATCTTGAACAGACCATTCATCAGAGTTGGTGGGGAAATGGGTGGAGCCAAGCACAGTTCTGCAAGAAAATATGCAGGAGGATGAAAATGACTTACAACTGGGAAAGTGGCTCAATAGTAAACATACAATCAGAGCTTCAGATTAATAGATTAGATCAAAATATTGCCATGTTCTAGAATCCAAAAAGTTCAGACCTCAATCCAACAGAGAATCAGTGACGAGGCTTGATACTCTGAATCCACTCCGACTGAACTCAGGTAATTTTGCACAGAAAAATTGACAAATGGGCAGAGACATACCCCGACATACCGCGATTTAGGGGTGCTGTTGCAGCAAAATGTGTTTCTACAAAATACAGACATTTAGCTCCACCCATCATTTGTATTTCGAAGTATATTTTTCAAAGTTATGAATCCGTTTCTTTCCACTGCACAGTTGTGCACCACTTTGTGTTCTATCACAGATAATCTCAGTGAATTAAAATAAGTTGCTTTAATTTGAGAAAATGTGTATTCACCCTGGGATGTGAATACTTTTGCAAAGCCGCGTACTAAAATGTCAGAGTTGCAGCCTGCCAGCTTTACCCGCACTGTTGTTCTGCTAAGGGAAGCATCCTGGCTATCAGTATCGCTGTAATTAGCTGGCAGATGAGCAGCAACTAAAAGGGAGCCAAGAGGTCACAAGTCAACAGGCTACCACAGAGGTCTGCGTTTTGCCAAACAATGATGAAAGTGGTGGGGTTTCTGCCCTCTTTTCCTGATTTCTTAATCTTTCCCCTACTCTCTGTGTGTAAAAAAAAATAAAGCCAGTGGCTTAATTAGCAGTCACTTCTTTCCTGCCAAGGATTCACAGTAATTAAAGACAAGGACCCCTCGATTTCTTATTGCTTTTATCTCTGCGGTGTCTCCAGCTCTGCTCTGTTTCCTGTCCTTATGACAGGAGCGTCTGTCGTTGATAACCACCCCACAGTGTTTGCAGTTGGCATCTAATCACTAGTTATCCTTCTCCTTATTGGAAAGTGAGTTGTGTTAAACTCAAGTAAAATGAAAGGAATATGAAGCCTAAATCTTTTTTTTTCTTTTTTTTTTTTGACTGGCTTACCTTGTTTTGATAGAAACACATTTAACATTAACTCTTTTCAGGACAAAATTCATCAGCAACAAGCTCAGTGTAAAGCTGAGTTTACACTAAATCAAGTAAGCTTCAAAGCATCGCTTGTGGTTCCTATGACAATGAAAGGGTACAGTCATACCTGGCTTGTAAGTTTGGTAGAATGGGAATTTCCAGTACTAAAACCTAGAGACTAATATTTTTAGTTACTGAGACTCCAAAGGCTTTGTCGGCTGTGGCTAATTTTCAACACTTCAATAAATGTCATCAATACCTTCTGCATACCAAAACTGGAAACCCATCCTTTCTCTCTGGATAACAGAGAAACAAATGGATGTACAGTTCCCTTTTCTGCAATAGAAGAGCCGATTCGTGGCGCATGGATGTTTACGCCGCTGCCAACGTCTACTAAATGCTCATTAATTTCATCCCTTCGTGGCAAAATCATTTCAAGGAGAGGCAATTCAGCCTCCTGTTCCTTTCAATTCAGCGCTCACGTCAATCAAGCCCTCCTGCAGGATCCTGCAGAATGGAGGTGTTATATTGCCGCAATTATCATGTCATATACTCGAAAATGTAAATGAACGTGTGTGTAAAATTAAATTTATGGGTTGTCAGTGAAGAATAAGAACCAGGAGAGCAATTACTTATCTGCTTTCATCTAGGAGCCTCTGATACGTCAAGCAGAAAAGCATGCAGTTAAATGCTGGAATTAGCATTGTGCTGCACTTCACAGCAGATGTGGGCCAGTGCCTTTTTCCCCCCTCTCTTTCCTCTTCTTGCCTTTTCTTTCTTTTTCTCCCTTTTTTTGTGGGTGATTATCACCCATTATGTATAAAGCTAATGACAGCATAAAAAGAGCTTCCATATTTCATAAACTCGTTGTTTTCTGTTTCTTACCCCTTTCCATTGCTTTAATTTCGCAGTTCTTGTTTGAAGTCTTGTTTTATTCTGTGCTGATGACATCCTGCATTATTCACCTACAAATACCTGACTTTGAGTGCCTATATTTCACCACCCACACAATGCAGAAACAGTTTGAAGCTCCATGTACAATTTATATTTAATTCCACTTTACATATGTATGCGCATACATTTGTGGTAAACCCTGCACGGCAACGCCTGCATCTATTTTTTTTTTTTTTTTTTATGCCCAAACGCCTTTGAGCCAGTACCCAATTAATACCCTTAATGAGTGCATCTCTGCTGTTGTTTTCCTGCTGCACATGTCCCATTGTAATGGCATCTAGCACAAAACCAGGAGTGACTGCAGGGGTAATTACTTACCTAGCAAATGTACCTTTAAGGGTTAATAACACTGAAGGTGTAAGCACAGTATTTGCATAATTACACACGGACTGTTTAATTTGCAACTTTTGACAGCTTTTGTTCGACGACTCGCTTATTGTGAACGCAATTTCTCCTGTCCCCTCGCAAGCATGAAGGAGTCCAAAGAAGAAAAGAGATGCACCACAAACAGCAGCGGCCACCTCCTCCATCTCTCCTACCTTAGATGGAGTCCCTTCTCTCTAAGACCCTAATGAACAATGGAGGCAGGATTTGTTTGAATATGAATATGAATGTGCAGCGGGGCCGGCTGGAAGTTGACCTTCAGCTGTGATTTTCAGTTCATCAGGATTAGTCAAGGCGGGCGATCAGGAGCCACTAATGCATAATGACTTCTAAAATGAAAAATGTGTAGTGACCATGCAAATGTCTCGGCTAATCAAAGAGGGGGGAGAAACCTGGGGTGGTGGTGGCGGCGAGGGTGGGGTGAGGGGTAGGCATCGAGGAGAGGAGAGCTAAACAAGGACGTGTCAAGGCCTGACAGAAAGAGGGAGAGGAGCAGAGAGGAGGAGGGAGGAAGGAGAGACATGCATGGAAAGTAATCAAGCCAGCTTGATTAGCTGGCAATGAGGACAGGGATGTCTTATTGGCCCCTTGACACTCCATATAGGCTAGCCACTGTCATGGCAGCTCCGTGGCAAACACTGTTGCAATTAGAATCAGTGCAGGTGTTACTCCGTGCTGATGTTCCAACCGTGTTTGTTTGTTCCAAACACTTGTGGCTTACACTGATTTCCATGTATGCTGATGATGTTAAAGTGTATTTTAAAGGTCATACAGAAAGGATGGACTACACCTCGCTTTTTTTTTGGCAGTCTAGTCAAGTTTTGCACGTTGGACCAAGGTATCAGCTCTATACTAAATCATTCACAGGCTTTTACTCTTAATCTTCTCTTCTTGAGGGGTTAAATTTTTAAAGCTGCCATGCGGAGCTAAAACTCCCAAATAAAACTGTTAGCATTCTACTCCCTTGTCAGAGTGCACACACGCAATCAAAGACAGCAGCAAAACATATTGTTTTCATATTGATCTGCTGTCTCAGAAGTTTGAGGCTTTTGCTTGAGAAGAATTTGGAAGAAATAAAGTTTCTTTTTTTTTCTACGACTAGAAATGGCACTGTTTTTTGGGGGGGGGTTTTGGACTGTTTTATTTTTTTTTCTAATCAACATGTCCACAGAGAGTTAAAAAGGAGTGAAACATCTGCGTCTTTGGGGTTTTTCTCTCACCTTTATTAAAAACTTAAAGGTGAGTCCTAAATTCCCAGCACTTGGAAATGTGTTATAATCAATTTTAGAGTTGTGCATTTTAAGCTGTTTTAAAAGCAGCAGCACTGATAGGTACTCTAAAGTAGGGGAGTTCAGGGGTCCTGCTAATTAAGGTCTATGTCTATTTAAATCCCCCAGCTTCTCCCAGGAGAATAAAGGCAGAAAAATAAGTTCAGCAACACAAAGATACAGCACCCATGTGTCCTTCAGCATCTCTTCTAGGTTGCAAAACGTCACAGCCTGCTCTCCCTACCTTTCCAACCACCAGTTTACTCGTTCCCAGTAGATCCACACTTCTATGTTAGATGTGGTTTTTTTTCCAACGCTCTATTTTTCAAACTTTTTCCAATTTTTTCTCATCTCCCTACCCATTCCCCCTGCTCTCCCATTGTTTGCCCTTCTCTCCACTCTCCATTTTCACATTTATTGCATCTTGTTTGTCTTGCCCCTCTCTGTGCCTCTTCCCTCGCCCCGACTCTCATTCCCATCATTTCATTACATATCATCCATGTCCAGGTTCCAGTGTCAGTGGCCATGATGAGTCCCCAAGTGATCACGCCACAACAGATGCAGCAGATCCTCCAGCAGCAGGTTCTTTCCCCACAGCAGCTCCAGGCTTTGCTCCAGCAGCAGCAGGCAGTGATGCTGCAGCAGGTACACAGACACACACTCACACACACACTCGCACAAAGAAAACCATGAAACACTAAAGCAAAAAACAAACTTAATGACACACATACCCAGGAGACTACAGGAACAACATTCAAGGCATGCATTATTCCCTGCGTATTCACACCTGTTCGACTCAGTGCAGTTTATTCATTGAGAGAAAATTCAAAATGAATGTCAGCCATTGGCCCTCGACAAAAAAAAATCAGCTGCAGTTATTAACGTTTCAGTTTCAACTTCAGTTTGGTCCAAATTTTGTTCAAATCAATTCTTGTCATTCACAAAACGTCAACTCATGTTTTCAGATTCAGTTCAATTCAAAAAATACAGTCATATTCAGTTGACTGTATTTTAATTGATGATTGCATCAAGTTGCTGTTGTAATTCTGATTGTGTGGAGACACTGATGAGAAACCACTGGCTATTTTTTTATTTGGAAGCTGCCAAGACCAAGTTCACAGGAGTAGCTGTGGCTGTCTCCTGTTCAAGGTAGAAAGGACAAAAATGTAAAATAAGCGCTAAGCCCACAGTCCCTTCTACATTAGAAACAAAACAAAAACAAAGAACTTATACAGTGGCTTCATCTAGTAAAGGGACCAAATTGGTGGAAATAATGCAAACTTAGGGAGTAAAAGAAAAATTGCAAAGCGAGGCAATAATGGCCAGTAGCTTCCGGAATATCTAACCAGCCTGATCAAAAAGCAGAAGGTAAGACTCGCACTAAAGTAGAGAATTCTATTTTTGGAAGGTCTAAACTCCACAGAGAGTTGAATGGATCAATAAAAATCACTGCAACACTTCTGTAAATGTTACATTTCATAAGGGTTTTACATCTTGATTGTAATTTTCAAGATTTACATGCAGTTTGTCAACACAGCGTCATAAGTCATTCCTGCCAGCACTCACTTTAGCTAACTCACCACAGTGTCCTTGACACGCTTACAAAAAAGAATCCTAAAGTGATGTACATGTTCATGTCACCTCTAATTAACCGTCTGTGGTGGTGTCGCTGGTTCAATTCCCTGACAAGCTTCCATCAGGGACTGTGGGAGCAGGGCTGAGCACAGGAAGCTGAATGATAGGTGATGGATGATGTAATATTTGAAATCGACTTGAGGAACCACGTACAGTCTCATTTCGGAGTTGAAATGCATTTCCCATTCATAGACTTGATTAAGGGAAAGAGAATAGTTTAATTAAGAATGCCAGTCATTCTGATTGTCCCTCTTTAATAATCGTGTCACTACTCCAGGCATGGTTTCAATACAATTGAATGTGGTTCCAAACACATTTTAAACTTACGTTTATTGCATTGTTTTGGTCAACATTTTCTTTAAGCTCCACTGAGTTTCTGATGACTTGTTGATTAAATCACTAATAGGCTCTGAAATAGGTCTTACATTCCTTGATGAAGAAATGTTACATCTTTTCCTGTCCTAACTGCAGTTAACATTTCAAAATCCACTATAAATTATTGTTTACTCTTTGAATAGCATTTAGAATAAACAACCACCATGTTCAAATAGAAAAAAGAATTTAAGTTGTTGGTTACACCTATCTTGCTTCTTTTTCCAACACCTTACCAACAGTGAATCATCTTCACTTTGTAACAGCATCTACACAATACATTAATGTTAATAAAACAGGTGGCGATAAGAAAAAATGTTTTTTTTTTCAGAAATTGACCATTTACCGGTTAGGTAGTCAGTTTATCATTTGAAGATGAAGAGTTGGTGAAAAATTGTATTCAGTGTGTCTTCTCTTTGTTCTTTGTCTTTCTGTGTGTGTTTATGTCTACAGCAACACCTGCAGGAGTTTTATAAGAAACAGCAGGAGCAGCTTCATCTGCAGCTTCTCCAGCAACAGCACCCCGGCAAGCAGGCTAAAGAGGTAGATGCAACATCATGCATGATTTCCATGCACAAAAATTTTAAGACACGTAGGAAATATAAAGACAAATACACACACACGCAAACAAACGTATGTCTAATTTCCACGGATGGAATTTTACTTCTGAGTTCCTTTTCATCAGCCAAAACCAAAAATGTATACTTCCTGTTCCTTTTCAGGAGAAACTGACACCTTCATGGTGAAGTAATCATAATATAGCATGCCTACTATTCAAACACCTCAATACCAAAGTTACAGTGTTTGACTCATAAATCTCACTGAGATGCAGCAGGTTGACAGACACAGCGCTGTCATTCCTCTTTCAGAAGACAAGAGAAACACCTCAAGCACATTTGCATAAGACTGTTGATGCTGAACCTTGTGGCCACCTCCAGAAAACAGTGGAAGTATTTAAATTGATATGAAAGAAAGAATGCACCACCTAAACACATATACACACACATGCTTTCTTTTTCTTTGCCTCCGTGATGCACCTCTCAGTGTCTCCTCAATCAGCCCATTATGCTGCCCCCAACAGGAAGTCGCAACCGACCTCCCGGTGGCTTTGTTTCTGTTTGGATTTGAGAATAGAGTTTTTCAGTGGCCTTGCCGTCAAATATGGAATAGAAATTGCCCCTTTATTTCTCTGGAGGCATGCCGGAAGGTTGCAAGGCAAGGGAGCAAACTGTCTCCCTCCGTCAGTCCATTATGCAGCCTGTTTTCCAGTGAGTGCATCTCAAGTTGTGCCTCTCCTATGCACCGTTCAGTCAATCATCTGAATATCTCAAAACGGCAAAACTGGTACGTGTCCATTCACCTCAGCTGACAAAGAGAGCAGTAATGAGAAAGACAGCCAGGAGGTATGTAGTAATTCTGGAGGAGCTGCAGTGATCTTCGGCTTAGGTGGGAAAACTTTAAGTCACTCACTCCAAATCTAGCCTTTATGGAAGATCCACATGAAGAAAGAGATTATACAGTGGGGCTGGTATTTTGTTTTAGCACACACAGGCAATATACCAAATAACTCCTTCTTACAATTGTCCCCAAGTTTGTCTTGGTTTTTCGCTGAAATTCTTAGGGTGTTTCCTGTAGACTTGGTTCAATTGCAACCAAGTTCTTATATTTTCAGCTGCAGCAGTCAGACTTAACACTGCACTGAGTCATACAAACCAAACCCTTTGAGCAACCTGTTTGCTCTTTCGCCTGTGGTGGTGCTGCATCCAAAAACCAAAAAAATTGAGGAAGCTCAAATTCCTTCTTCACACAATGTATGCAAAAATGGAGAAGTGTCAGTTTTTAGCAGTTGTAGGGTTTGTCTTTTGTTTTTGGCAAAAGACCAATAACCATTTCTCCTGTAACCTCAAGACATCGTAGTCCACTTCCTGCTTTTCGAGTGGTGTCTGATCTGGTTGGCATTCACATATTCATTCAAACTGCACTTCGATCTAAAATAGACCAAGGTTTGTAGGCACATCAGCTCACTTTCACTTTCACATCTCTGCATATAAATAGGACATTCTAGGCAGGTAAACAAGAGTTGGATAAAAGCAGACTAAACAGGGCCACTGTGAGTGAATCCTTATCTTACCTTTAACTGTAAAAAATAAAAATAAAAAATAGCTCAAGGGGTTTGAATACTTTTGCATGGCAATTTCAAGTTTGATACAGTCCAACTTGCTTTGTGTGTCACCACAGTCTGTCTGGCTTGGCGATAAACAACTTACTGAGGAGACTCGAGTACAGGGGGTTTGGGAGCAGTCGTGGCATTCTACATATGCGCTTGAGACTGTGCATCCAAATGCACAAGGAGCCTGTAAACCTCTCATTCTTTCTGTTCCCTCCGGTCAAATAAGCTGTAGCAGAGCATCAGCGAAGGCGAGACAATTAACTATCGAGGATGGCGGGGAAAGGATTATACCAGAGGCTTAGTATCATGCACAATCAGAAGCTACACATACTGACAGCCTCACTTTTGTGAGGAGATAACAGCACTTTGGTACAGCCCAAAAACTAGGAGGGAATACTTAAGAGTGAGCAGACAGAGAGCGAGAACCTGCCGAGGAAGAAGCAAAGAGGCACGGCTAAGGTCACGAAAAAGGCAAAGGAGATTTCTCCAAACGGCAAGCCAATGTCTTCTGCTCTCTCAGCTGTTAATTCCTCTATAATTTTCACTCCCTCCTCTTCTTCCATGCTCCCCTCTTGCTCCTCGCCCTCCTCTTCCTCCTCCCCCTCCTCCTCCTCTCTATAGCAACAGCAGCAGCAGCAGCAGCAGCAGCTGGCCGCCCAGCAGCTCGTCTTCCAGCAGCAGCTCCTGCAGATGCAGCAGCTCCAGCAGCAGCAGCACCTGCTTAACATGCAGCGGCAGGGCCTGCTCTCGCTGCCCGGGCCCGCTCCAGGCCAGGCCGCCCTGCCCGGACAGACCCTGCCCCCACCAGGTAATGCAGCTGTGTCCGTTCGGAGCACATGACTTCCTGTTATTTGTTTGCAAGTGTAAGTGCTGTCTTTCCCTCTTCTGTCTCTCTCCCTTGTCTTAGTTGTTGTAATTGGTATGCACATGTAATCCTGTTGTGTTATCTTTAAGTGTGTCTGTCTGCCTGCCTCTCATTGGTATGCTCCCCTATCATCCAATTTGTCCTTAACTCTGCACATGAATGTTTTTTTTTAGTCGTCCATTCTTCCTCCTTGTCTTTATTGCTCTCTTTGTCTACCTCTTTTTCTCTCTTAGCTCTGAAAGTGTTTGTGTTTGCTGTTTTCCATCTTTGTTTTTATCCCCGCTCCCCCTTCTATCAGTGCTTGTTGTTGTTGTTTACTACCTCTATTGAGATGAATAAAAAGCACAAACACAGAGGGAGAGTGGCAAACAGACTCCATTTTCTTCCAGCCCGATCAAGTAAACACTCCTGTTTGTTGTTTATCATTGAAATGGCGGAGACGGAAAACAACAGGCAGGAAAGTGTTTGACGAGATCACAGCAGTGAATTTGGAGTAGTGAGTTTCCACACTAAAATAGAAAAACATTTTTGCCTCAAGGTGGAACTGGCAACTATTCTGTGTATTCAATGTTTCTCTTTTTACACAAGTGAGCTGTTTTCCAGTTAAAGTCAATACCTGACTCTGCAGAAAAATTAGAGTGGTTTAGAGCTTTTCAGCAGTGTCATGAACTTTCTCCAAAGTTAGGGTTTTCAGCACACTCACTATTTACTGCAACTTCTCCCTCCTCTTGGGTGTCTACAGGTGGCTTGAGCCCCGCGGAACTCCAGCAGCTGTGGAAGGACGTGACCGGAGGTGGCGGCGGCGGTCACACCATGGAGGACAACGGCATCAAACACAGCAGCGGCGGAGGCGGCATCGGCAGCGCCAACACCGGGACCGGCGTGGTCAGCAGCGGTTTAGACCTCTCCACCAACAACTCCACTTCAACTACCTCCTCCTCCAATCCTGCCAAAGCATCGCCGCCCATCTCGCACCACGCCATCACCAACGGACAGTCGCCCATCCTCAACCACAGACGAGAGCGGGAAAGGGAGCGCGAGAGGTAGAGGAATTAAGCCATCAGGCTGCCTTTAAGAGATAACGGCAGAACACAACAAGCTGCTTGATGTTGTTGTGCGGAAACTCGAGGGAAAACAAGATGTTTTGTTTATTTATTCAATGGTTTATTAGTGTCTCACTGATATTCAAGTGCAAAAAAAATAAATAAAAGCCGTTTGCTCCCAGGGGAGCTTCTGAACAAACTTAGCAAGCTCACGTATATCAAACGCGGGGAGTAGAAGCCATCCAGGCAGGCACACTTACACTTATAACAAACCTCTCTGGCAGACAAGACAAGGTAACCCCCTTGTACATTAAGTATTTAGTGCTTTGTCTCTGTTTTTTTTTCCTCTTTTGAAAATTACCTTCCTTGCTTGCTTGTCATGTAAACAGAATATGTGATGCCTTGAGTGGCGTTTCTAGGATGTTTATCCTTGTGATGGCGTCTTTTATAAATGCACCCAGCACCGAAACACTGGCTGTTCACATATCTGCCTATCTGGGCCATGCATTATTCAAAGGCTTTTCTTGGGCGATATTATAATAAGGACTAAGGATGGAGATGTGTGAGTGTGTCTTTGTGTGTGTGGATGCTTGGTGGAGTCTTGCAATAGACATGGAAGTGCAGTGTAATTGGTTTAAAGTAGATGCTATCTCTGCAGTCCCACTAAAAGTAGGCTGGGAGGAGGAAAGGAAAAGAGAAGACAGAAAAGAAGAGAGAGAAAGTAAATGAGAAGACAAGGAAGAAAGGAAAACATCTGCTTGTGTCCCGAGGGGGTTTGCGGTGCCTCGCAATGATCGAACAAGAAGTATTGTGAGGAGCGCTGCTTACTAACACGCCACAGATCGATGTGGGGGAAGCCCCTTTGTAAAAACGCAGCGTGAGTTCTGTCAGGGCTTTCGACCACACACATGCACAGGCATAACCTGTCCGCACACTCTCCCTCGTGTTTCCATGAGCACACTTACACACCACTGCCAAGCCTAAAGGTTAGACTGTCATCTTTAATAGGATGTGCTGTCTAGGCAGGGTCGTAACTTATTTGGGTGCCATTTGAAAAACGCCAGAACACCCTTGTCCTCAAAGAACATAAGTTACTCAGTGTATTAATCTCCTGATGAAAATTATATGGCTGTCTGGATTTTTAATGTTTACTCGAAAGCCAGGACCCCTCCTCCCCGATAATGGATTTACAAGATGGAGCGTTGGCTGCAGTTCCAACTCATTCTGGATTTCCATGGGGGGTGGAGGGAGGGAACGTTCTTCACACATAAGTCACCACTGTCTATGAGTTCATGCTGGAAGATCTAGAATGCGACTTGCTTCTAACCCTTTTTTTTTTTTTTTTTGCTGTCAAGACAAATTTTCTTCTGTCTTCATTAAAAAGAAAAAAACTTGAAGAGTTGAACAACTTGACTTCTTATGCTTACATTGCTCCATTTTTCTGTTTGATCTGCCTCCAGCTCACTTCACGAAGAAAGCGCAGGAACCCACCCCCTGTACGGTCATGGTGTGTGCAAGTGGCCTGGCTGTGAAAACATGTGTGAGGACTTTGGACAGTTTTTGAAGTAAGAACTTATTCTCTGACAATGTGGTACTGTAGTAGTCAAGAAAATAGTTCCACTTTTCAACAATTTGCACTGCAACCTAAAGACCAACAAAACACTTTAGTGTGTCTTATTGGGCTTTTGTCTGATCTGGAAATCAGATGAGCCCAAATATTTGTTGTCTCTGTTTGTGCTAGTGAGTCAAATTCATACCAGGTGCAAAACCATTACAAGCACCCACATTTGGACATCCCAAATCCATCTCAGTGTAACACATTCAAGATTCTGGTTAAATGTGTTAACCAGAATCTTGTGACAAAAGTTGAAAAAAAAAAACGGTTGAATTGATGTTGCCATGTTTTACTTTTAGTGACACACATGGAAGCTGTACTTTTGTTCCCACTCTCTCAGAGGCCTTACTCTTAAACCCTTCCTGTCTTTCTACAGGACACATTCTGACCTCTAGACAGCTACCTGACAGGGTTCTGCTCCTCCAAAGCATGACTCAAACCAACTCTGATCCATAACAAATTTTCTGCGCAGTGTGGAGGGACCTGATAGGTTTGTGAGAAAGAAAAAAGAAAAAAACGTCAAAAGCTAATGGCAGCTCGCACGGCCGCACACTTACCTCGACAACAAAGGGCCCCCATTCACTGTTGTCATGGTGCAGGCGCTGGAGCAAATGAACTCTTCATGCTCCATCAACAATTTAGTTAATTAGCTCATTTGTAATTGGCCGGCTTTGTTGCCAGGATGTTAGTGGGGGGACATCAAAGGAAGAAGGTGTTTGCAGCGCTGCCGATTACAGGTTATCACATTGCCACTCACCGAGAGCCTCTCTCCCTCCCTGTATCCCTGACTCCCTGCTCTCACACAGAGAAGAAAAGAAAAGGAAAGCTTTAATTTGAATATTCTAATTAGATTTGTAATTAACTGTGAAATAACGATCTGGTGAGTGTTTTTCATGGGCTGTAAATGTCCATGTGAATTCTCATAAACTCCCTCAAATCAGGACAATGTATCCACTTATTTTCCCAGTCATGCAATTCTCTGAAGTATTGACTGTAATAAGGTGCAGAAAGCTAGGAGACGTATGCATACAAAAAAAAAAAAACGAAAGGAAAAGAAAACTAGAATGTAGGATTTGGGTCAGGCTTTCGCTAATGCTACAGCATCTTCTGAAATGATTCCAATAAACAGTGTTTTCAAGTCTTTCAAAGACACTTGCAGGCAGCAGATTAGAGTCCATTTTCACACGCTGTCGAAGCAAATAATAAAATTAAAAGAGTTGTAATTGACAGCAGCGGCTTGCTATATAATGGACATGAATAGATGTTGCTGCTGCAGAGGAAAGTGTTTGCTTATATTCTTTGGAAAATGCGAGACGTACATGTCAGAATTAATATACAGAGAATCTTTGCATTCTGTCATGACACAGCCACATTGTCATCTTATGCAGTAGACGAAAACAAAGCAGGATGTAGTTGTAGCGTGGAACAAAACGTGTACATTTAAAATGTTTTTACGGATAAATATCGGAACTTAAAAGATTTGGGTCACTTCAATAAATGCACTTATGTTTCCCTAAACTATTCCATTGCTGCTCTAGTTACTTGTTTTTGTTGCGTCTGGTATATTTAGGGTTGTACCTCACCAAACATCCAAGTACTTCACTTCTTCTGACATGTTCCCTCGCAGGATTGTGCTTTCTTTTTAACACTGCTTTCCTGTCCCTGTGAAAGGAAATTGTGATGCTACCACCATGTTTGTGTTGCAGTGTTAGTTTTCCACCACACAGTGAATGTCAGTCATATGTAACCAGAACATTCTGCCCCCAAATGACTTTTTACAAACCGCAATGCTGGTTTCTACACATTTTTCTTTACTTCAGGACAAATGATCTCAGTCTGTCACATCACAACTAAAATAAGTCCTATTGACAAAATGTGAAACGTGAAATGGTATAAGAAAACTTAGATTCTTGAAAGTCATTCTTATGAAACACCGGATTGTGGTGCACACTACAGGACTACGCGTGATGTAGTCCGGGTAAAGCAGTTTGCCTTGCAGCTTTGGTAAGGGATGCACCTGTGATCCAGCAAGACTGCAGGGGATTAGCAGGTTTTCTGGAATCATATCCAATCATCTAAACACACTCACTTAATGGAAGACATCACTTTCTTTCTTTTGGTACCGTATGCTCTGTTCACACACAAACACTCAGTAGTACTCTGTGTGCTTTAAGGATACTGCGGGTTGCTAGATTAGCTGGTCACTTCAGTCAGGCTTGGAGACGCACTGTAAAAGATGCGCACATGTGCTGGATTCAGTAAGCTGGTAAGCTTCTGTGAAATGATGTGTGCTTGTAAAGTCAAACCAGAGGAGCCAGAAAGACAGGTGGAGAGAAAACAGTTGGATTTCAAAGTGAAAAACAGGTGCGCAGGTTGGCAGACAGTTTTGTAAGAACATTTTCCAGAACATTGCCTGTTACGGAATTTCTGTCTTGGCTGAGTCTCACACACAAAACTGTACAGGAACCCAGCCAGCGCAAGAAAACAGACGGCAACAAAGAAGGCAAGCTCGTCATTAGAACAAAGATGGCTGCTCTGTGCCGTGCCTTGGAGCAGTCATTGTAGGTGTCAGAGGGAGTCCTTTCATGTTTCGGGAGATGCCATTTGACTACACACACACACAGATGCGCCCGTGCACGCACACACGGGCGCAGTTTAAACGGGGTTACATAAAGCGGATGTCAGATTTAGATGACAGCTTAGATGTTGGTACTTCAGTGGAAGGAGGGGGCCACGTTTGTTGGGAAGGGGTTGGGGAGAAACCCAAGTCAAGCTGCCGCCTCGTAGCTCGCTGCAGGAGCTCGGCTCAGCAGCAGTGACACGTTTAGTCATCTATTGTTTTGTTGCATGAAGAAACTTGTCAAGATCAGCATTTAGCAGCTCCTCGGCGCGCTTTAAAGTGTTCTCACCTGGAAAATGTAGCCGCAAGGTGGCATGGCACCCTGAATTAGCTCTGTGAAGTTCAAAATGAAATAATATCTGTGGGAATGTTTCTTGAGTGACTGGGTGTTTTGGTTTGCGGGCGTATTTATGTTAGTTACACGACAAAGAGGACTGAGACACGACAAGGCATTGAGGTTGGGTGGAGGGTTTTTTTTTTCCTTTTTTGCAAAGCAGCCTTTGGTAAAAATAAAAGGAAACAAAATTGTAGTTAAAAAGATCAGCTTAATAATGTGGGAATTGAAGCCAAAGGATAAATGGTTTTCCAAGATTGCTTGACTAGAATCCAGTCTGAAGTCTTTCACTGCTATTACCTTCATTCATCTTTCTGGACATCTGACAAGCCTCCCTGTACCTGTTGGTATTTACCTCTAAAATAACAACATGAATATATCAAAGGCGCTTTGGCAAAATGCAATAATTGTTTGCTGACACGCTCACTGTGTTGGTTGAAGCCTCCCTGCTGCAAAGTCACAGTGTCTGATGTACAGATAAAAGGAAACAATTGAGGAAAATGTGTGTTATCCTGGTTATTATTGGTCTAGTTTCTAGTGCAAGTATCTTATTATGCTTGAAAAAACTTATTTAAAAGTACCTTTTCAGCAAGATATACCAATAATCTGCTGATGGAACTAGCAGTTTTTAATCAATATTAAAAATTATTGACTTAAAACAAGCTTGTAAATCTTGCTGAGAAGTTACTTGTAAGATAGTTTCTTCTTTTTTTCAAATCTACTAAAAATATTTCCACGAAAAACTGGACCAAAACTACTTGGTGAGATTTTGGATTTTTGCATTGTGCAGCTCTTGTATTGTGACAAAATGTGAAAAAGTTCAAGGCAAATGAATCATTTTGAAAGGCACTCATACATTTCTGAAGGCATTTTATATGTACAAAAATGTTACTGCTCATAGGTTTTCAAAGCTGTAGTTCCACCTTTACACAAACCGATAGTTGCAACCCCCAACCAGCTCTGCCAGTGTTCTGTCACCGTTCTGCTCTCCTTATTAGTGGCAGCAAGCCAGGCTCTGTGTTAAAATGGCAAGCTCAGCCGCTAACCCGCTACTAATTAAACCCACAAGGCAGCAGCCAAATGTCTTTGTCTTTATATAATGTACACATATGCACATTGTTGAGGCAGGCATTTGCTTTAGTGGGTTTTCCTTGCCCCTACATGGTGAGGCTTTGCTCCACCCCACCAAGACCTTTAAAAGACGGGGCACCACCTCCAAATGGTGACAGTGTCCATGAAAGAGACCGTGTGTAAACACGCTGTGTTCTGATGCACTTATTTAGAAGTGTACTGCTGAATCGGTGTTAGTGTGTCATGTACAGACAGCTCAACTTTCTCTGCTGGGCCTTTGTAGCCCAGATGATGCACACGAATAATTAGCCCAAGTGTACAGTCCATTTATACTGGCTTGAATAGATTTATTATTGGGCCGTTAGTGGACATTGATGGCCTATACATATTCATGCTTTCAGCTATTGGAGAGAAAAAAATTCTTCAAGATCTTTTGTTCTGTTCTCTTTAAGACAAACCGCAGGTTCTAATAAAACAAAGAATCGTTTTTGGGGTTTAAAAACAACAGCTGTGTCTCTGTCTATTTTTAACATCTTTTTGTTTTAATATTAAGTGTCGTGTTCAGAAGTCTCTGCCTTGGCCATCTTTTCTCTCCAGTTTTTCATTATTCATGCCTGATGATGGGGGTAAAACAGTGTATACATATACACTGTTTTCCATAGTGTATGTATGTGTATATATATATATATATATATATATATATATATATATATATATATATATATATATATATATATATGTTTTATTTCTCGCTATTTAATTTTAGCTGCAACTATCTCAAATTCATGGTCTATTAAAAGGATAATGCTTTTTTATGCAGGGCTATAAGTAAAGAAAATAAAGTAGTACCTTATTTTGGGAGTAAGGTGGGTTTTTTAAAAATGTACACCACACTTTTCAGATTTTTTTCTTTTTACATTTTTTCTGTTTAAAATATTTCTTTCCCTTCTTTCTTGTTTTCTTTTGAAAACATTGTTTAAAATCCTAAAATTGTTTGTAATCACCATTATCAAGGTGAGGTTACTTAAGGTCCTCATAGTAAAGGAGCTGATCACCACAGTTGGCAGAGTTGTTAATAAAAAATAAAAAAATGATAATACCAGGTGAAAGATGGTGATTAAAATCATTTTTGTTGTTCAGACAGATTAGAAACCTAAGGCGGTCTTTTTCTTCTTCCCTGTTTCACTACCTTCGATTTTCTTTTGTCATGTTCTTTTCTTCCTGTCCTGTGTGTCTGCCCACCCCCTTCTCCTTCATTTCTGTCTTTGTTTGGCATTATTAATGCTCAGCAGAACATGCTGCCATTTGAATATTTTATAAACGCACGTTGTAATCTTCCTGTAATCGCCTTGCTAACTGGCCAGCAGTGAAATTGAATGTACGAAGCCCTAACTGCAGGACCGCCGTGAGGCCTCACGCACACAAACACGTGCACTCTTAACTAAACGTAGCTGCTTGCGGATCAGACGTAGACTCCATAAAGATTTTTGCACATCTTTTTTTTTTTTTTCTTGTTTTGTAATGAGGTATCTTCAGGGACGGCGAGCAGCCATCTCTGTGCTTTTGAAGCAGCTGTAATTCATGACACACACCATACATCAAGTGCATAAGATAGCATTATGGGCAGTGAAATGAAAAGGGTATTTGCAACATTAGTTCCCTCATCCTGCGAGGGACGTGATTAAATGATTAATGAAATGCCCCCCCACAGCCCTCCTCCCGCCCTTTTTTTTTTTTTTGCATGCGTGTCCTGAAACAGCAATTAGGCATAGAGCTGGTGGAAATCCACCAGTCCTGTCCCTCATGCACTTCTCTCCCTACCTCTGCTTGTATTTTTTTTAATACCACCTCATTCTTGATTTATAATGAAACATTTCAGAGCATTAAAAACTGAAATGGTTAGGGGAAGCAAAGGCAGGGACGAGATGAAACGGTTTTTAAGCGTGTTCAGTGTTAATTGAAAGGTACAGGACTATTGTGATTACAAATGTTCTGCTCGGCTTCTGATTGACAGGCCAAGAGAAAGCAGCTCAATGAGTTGTCTTGTTTTTACGCTTTGCAGATAAACAAGAAGAGATGTGGGGTGTGGGGGTAGAAGGGGAGCGGAGAAGAATATGTGCTGGAAGTGTGTGTTCGCGATAATGTAAGCAAGCGTGTGTTTTCAGATAAAGCGAATGCCAGAGAGGAAGAGATTTTGTACTCCCTCTAATGCACTGGAGGCTGTGCTGTAAATGATCATTGAAGGGTCTGCAAGCTAACCTATAATTACTGCAGATAAAGTGGCAGCTCTGGCATTTCATAAGCATGTCTCCTCAAAGCTTTGCTTTGTGAGTTTGTCTCCAATGATCATTTAGATAGAGGCTCATTACCCAGCATCACAACACTTTAGGAACCCTTTTTCCACCACATATTTGCACTACCTTGGACGTGTGTCTGGAATAGAGGTCTATCTTAATGGTTGAGTTTTTTTTGTGCATGTGTGTCCTACAGATGAAATCCAATCGAGACAAAAACCTTCATTGACTGTTATGGCTGTCTGGCCGCCTTTTTTCCTTCTAATGAGGCGAACACACCAGATACGTTTAATATGTCTGTGCCACGATAATGCACCTTCAAGTGAAGAGCCGCCTTTGTGTGTCAAATGTTGCCCGTGTTAAATTGTGTGTATTGTTTTCAATAAATTAGGGGGACAAAACCATTCTGCTAGGCCAGCACGTTTTATTCTTAGAAGAAAGCAGCTCTCAGGGTGTCACTGAAGGCCCCCCAAGCCCCGCTGCCACCACCGCCACTTCCATCATCTAAACTGGCACAGACCTATTGTCATGTTAAAAATGGTGCCTCACACCATCCATGTTACTGCTAATTACTTCATTTCAAATAGGAACAATGGGTTCTAACTGGGATCCTATAGGTAATTGTCGCTGTATGGAAATTATCATAAAAACAAAAGTTGATACTGTAATTATAATCCACCACAATTTTTGCCAAGGTAAACCAAGTTCTCACAGCTGTACCACGCGAAACCTTAAAAAGTCTGTTACCTCCTTGGACATTTTTAAGTTTTTCAGGTTTCACCCAAAACTTTCAGTGGTGAAAGGCAGAAAGAAAGGTTTTCAAAGATGTCGTTTTAAATTAAAACGTGGGAAAAGTTCACTGTGTTTATTTTTTAACCTTTAATTTTGATACTCATAATCACAATCCTGCCCATGCCTAATGCTTCAGAGGTTGCTTAATTTGTGTAGTTGTGAGGGCCAAAGAAGTTTGCCAGAGAATATTAGTAAACAAACAGCATTATGAAAGCAAAACAACATCCCGAAAACTATACGAGGTGACTGCAAACAATGTGTGGTGGAAAACTGAAAGTGCATGCCACCCTGAATATATTAGAACTGTGAAACATGGTGGAGGCAGAAACATGCTGTGGGGATACTTTTCTTGCTGGTCAGAGTTGAGTGGCTGATGGATGAAAGCTGAATACAGGGCAATACCCCAATAGACCGTAAACATTCAAACATTTGTACAATCTATTTAATACATCAATGTGAAATTACAATATGGATGTCTCTTTGTCCTTTCAGGCACCTAAACAGCGAGCACGCTCTCGATGACAGAAGCACAGCCCAGTGTAGAGTCCAGATGCAAGTTGTACAGCAACTTGAAATACAAGTAAGTTTCTTTTTTTTTAAGCTAGTAATAATGTCTCAATGGAGTAAATTTATATGGTTGGATTTTTTTTTTACATTAGTGTAGCCATGGCTCCAGCAGTCAAAACTTTATTTTGTGAAACTTGCACAAGTAGGAGAAAAGGCCACGTTGTGGTTTGCTTAATACTCCCAGACAAGCAGGACCTACTGAATTCAACAAAGCCACTAAACAAAGGATTCCTCGAGCCTTACAACGAAAGCCATTATGGCTGTTTTAATTGAATTAAGCCCATGCTTTATTTTCTCTGCTGCTTTCGTTTTTTTTTCCTCCTTCTTTTTCTTTCCAATTAATAGCAAGCGCATCTCTCCCAGTCTGCTGTGTTAATTAACTGCACTTTGCACCTGAAGAAAGCTCAAAAGGAGGGAACTATTTTCAGTAGGTGGAGCGTGACCTTATTAAGAAGTCATGTTGGATAGATAATGAGAGCGCTGATTGAGTGACATTATTACTCAGCACTGCAGATGAGCGCCGCACTGCCTTTAGAAACAAATAAAGACAGGGGCGAACAAATGTTTCGGCACTCTTGGCAAAGATTTCTAATAGTAATAATTTAAAAAGTCAAATTAATTCTCTTTTTATTGTTGATTGTATACAATGTCATGCAAAAAGTTGAGAAAAGTTGCCTTTTAACGTAAATGTTTTATTCTATGAAAAGCAGGAAGTTTTATTCTATGAAAAGCAGGAAGTTGATTTTGTGGAATCACCAGTAGCACGATTGTTGCTACATCTGCTTTTTAACAATAGCATCATGTAGTGCTCTCCTGTAGCTTTTAATAAGACATACTGGACTCTTCTAGTTCACCAGAATTTGTCTCTAATTAATTGTCTTGAATTAATCTCTAAGATTTTAAGAATATATGTTGAGCACTTAGGTCACTCAATTTTCTGCTTTGCCACAGTCCTTGAAAGTCATCAAACTAAAGAACTTTCACTCAATTTTCAATGTTTTTATTGCAAAATGTTGCCATCCCAGTGTGATTACATTGTAGCTCTTGTTCTTTTTGCACTCTTCTGCTCCTCCATTCTGTAGCCCCATCATCTCTGTTTCTTTTCACCACCAGACCCATCACTTGTAATGAGGCCCAGCTCTGCGTGTGTGTGTGTTATTAAGGGGCGGGAGGTTTTCCGCTTTTCACAAGGTCCGGTCCCTGTCACTCCAGGTGAATTAGATTGATGATGAGCACCGGCTGGGGCCACTAACTGGACCGGGGAGGCGGGGCCGCCTGGCACCCTGTTTGGGAGACCCCTTCACCTCTTGGCAGCTGCTTGCTGCGCTCCATCCCCCTAACAGTGTCCACAGGACTTTGAGCAGACACTCAGGACCACCTAATTTATGAGCCAACCACCTTGTTACTGTCAAAGCCTTCGCTGACCTAAATTCGGATATTGACAAAAAGATGAAACGCTATTTGTTTTGCCTGACCTGCCTCTGTTCTCCCCTTCCTTCCTTCCCTCCTTCTTTCCTTTCCTCTTTAATCCACCCTAATGCACTCTCTCCTCTCCTTCTGTCTTAACAGCTTTCTAAAGAACGTGAGCGTCTTCAGGCGATGATGACCCACTTGCACATGCGGCCCTCAGAGCCCAAGTCATCTCCCAAACCAGTGAGTGCATATTGCTCTGCCTCCCGTAAACACGCTCGCCTCCGATCGCCGAAAATGAACAGTTTAAGCGGGCAGCAGAAGATGAAAGGGAGGCGAATGGGATTTGTAATACACAGTTACATGTGCTCCTTATCGCTTTTTGTGCATTGTGAGAGGACAATAGAGTTTGGGAGTGTATTAGATGGCAGAGCGACGGAGTCCTTGGCTAAAACGGCGGGAGTAATTTCTTTGTGATAGCTATAATAGGGCAAAACAACCTATTGGCTGCCGATGATTGTTTGGCTCGGTGGCCAAAGAAGCGCTCAGAAGTGGAATGAGAGGAGAGAAGATGTGTCATTTTGACAACAAACAGCAGAAAATAACAGCTCAGTGTCGGAGACTGTGGGATGTTGACATGAAGCTAAAATTGACCACAGGAGAATAAAACAAAAAAAGAAAAAGTGATTTCAGGCTGGGCTTTTTTCCCCTTCCTCTTAATGGAACCCTTATGAAAGTGACTTATCCAAACGATATTTGAATTTCATATCCCGATAATTCATTTTGGCAAACACTGTACCCCTCCTCAGTTTTCGTAGTTTTGAAATATGAGACATCAAAACATTGTTAGCGTTTTAATGCTGCTCCGTAAGTGCCTACATTCAATTGAATCATTTTCCCAGTCACATGTCATCACAGAATGTAGACGATCATAAGATAGCACAATTATTCCATAATTCCACCAGAAATCAAATCCTTTTTATTATTCCAAGTCCCCTTCTTTTACTCTCCGTCTGTGTAGCATTTTTTTTTTTATCATCTTTAAAACTCCAGCAGCTTGGCACCATCTCGTCCAATAAAGAATTTCCAGCTTCTAATCCGTGCCCGAATATGAATGAATGATGCTAATGAAGTATTGCATTACATAAAGCTCACATGAAAGAACAGCTAATTGCATTTGGTGGTGGGGGTAATTCAGACAGAATTCCTAAACGAACAGTGAAGTCATTAGATTTTTCTAAGATCTCCCCACTTTTTAAAGTCTGACAAGATAAAGATTTGTTTGGGGGATGTTGGAATAGAAGTAATATAGATGTTATGAATGTTTGTGCTTTGCAAAGATATTTAAACACATTCCAATTTGTTTTAATTGGATATAATGTAGGAGAGGCACTACTATTGGTGCATAAATGCAAAGGATCAAGTAGAAAAGCAGACAAGAAGCCCTAGATGACTTTGGAGGAGCTGCATGTATTTACAGCTGTCATAGCAACTCTGTCTTTTATAGAAGAGTGAACAAAGGAAAACCAAAGTTTAAATGTTGGCAAATGAAGCCATTAACAGTTTGCCACCATCCAAATCGAGAATACGGTTATCATCTGGAAGAAAGACCTCTGATCAGATGAAAGCCCATTTGGGACAACAAAAGGCTGGATTTTGATCAAACATTGATGTTCTGACTGGCCCAGGTCAAGTCCAGAACTAAATGCAATTGTGGAAACACTTCAAAGTAGCTTACAAACATTTTCTAATTTAATCTTCCTATTTTTGCCAAAATCAATGGGCAGAAATTTCAGTCTCTAAATGTAAACGTCACCAAAAAGATCTTTTGAGACGTTTGTTCAACTTCTCCAGAGTTCCATCTCTGGAGCGCAAAATACAAATGCATGCCACACTTCACATGTGCTATTTTACATTGTGCTACTTAGACAATGCACTGCCATCACATAAACCAGGTACAGAGTATAAACTCTCTTTACCCATGATGGAATTAGCTCATTAATACGCCTCTCCATTGCCAGAGTCTCTAACTTGACATTTTATAATATTTTTCAACACTTGCAGCAAATGACCCCGGATGTGTTTTCTTCTTTTTTTTTTCTTTTTTTTTTTTGCTATAGCTCCTCTCCATCTCCCAGAGCCTTTGGCTCCCACACTGCTTCCCATCTTTCAAGTCGCCTTCAATTCAGAGATCTCAATGTGGACGCATTCCACTCGTAGGCTCACAATTAAGGCAATTTGGTTTGAATATGTAACGACGTCATTACCATTCCAGCTAAATTAGCGCAGGGACTAAAAGGTCAGCGAGGAATTTTCCAGTCGGTTAGAGCCTCTCATATGAGATTTGGGAAGCAAGTACAGAAGTGGCGGACAAGTCGGACGGCTCCCGCGATCGTCACTCACTCACCGCGCGGCGGAAGAGACAAAGACTCACAGAAGAGAGTGTTTATATCCACAGTGACCATCTAGCCGTCTACGCGGATTTGCTTCTCATGGGAAAGAACTTTAACTTTCTAAACTTCCTTCGGCACTGGAAGTCACTTTGCGTTGGGGCTTTTAAGACTCTCCTTTTGCAATAAAAAGTTGTTGATTTAAAGTTCCGTCAATGCAAGCGTTGGTGCAGCAGTAAATTTAAACTGCCAAGCTATCAAGCGATGCTTTTAATAGAATTATACCCTCTTTTCATGTGCAGCAAATCCTTTTGCCGTCAGTATTCTATGACCTCAGGGTTTGTGGGATATTCTGACCAGGAGGCAACTCTCTAAATCCTCACATCAAAGCAGTCAGGAATGTTGCTGTCGGTGGGAATGAGCCTAGTAAAGTCAGTGAGACCTGGCCACGGAGAAGTTTTTTTTTTTTTTGTATCAGCTTCAAACTTTTAACACAATTGTATTACTCAATTAAAATCTAAACCTAATGCCAGACTGCATTTTGCAAGCTAAGCATGAGAAAACAACCAAGAGGACTTGTCATTATTATCTTTAGCACACATATTTTTCAACTTTTACTAAAGTCTCAAAATTAATATAATGGTCCGTTTTCTCTCCCATGCCTTCATTCCCGCACTTTTTATAGACTTTAGATTTACACTTTGCTTAAATGAGAGGTTTCAAAGACTTTGAAAACTACATAAAACTAGAAACACCTGAATACTTAGTCAACTGTGTATTTTAACAGGCATTTATATGCCAAAATCATTCAGATTTCCAAAAGATATCTGTCAATATCAAGAAGCTTGTATCCATCATTTCACAAGGGAGAGATAACCTGTGTTTAGGGGCTCGTTTCTCCACTGTTTAAGAACGATGAGTGTTTGTGGGGTGGTGAGATAGCCGGGGAGGGAGTGAGAGAGGCAGAGTGTGATAAATAGAGAGATAAAGAGAGATGGGGCTGGGATAACATGGAGGCTGATCGTTGGATAATCTTGAACAGCGTGCTCTAATTAGAATTCTTATGACACAATTTGGTGGTTGTAATTAGTGGAGATGGGCTGGCTCCTCTCCACGAGCCTTGTTAGTGGAAACACAGCTGTGTTAGAGAGGAGCGGCGCAGACGCTCAAATCTGTCAGGGAAACCACAAAACGATGCCTTCCGCCTCCCGCTTTCACCCACATACATGTGTGTGGATATGTGTGTCTCTTTCCCACATCATGAGTCATGACTCGCGCTTCGTTTTCTCCCCGCCGCAGCTCAACTTGGTGTCGAGTGTCACCATGTCAAAGAACCTGCCCTCGACGTCGCCCCCGAACTTACCTCAGACCCCCACAACGCCTACAGCCCCCATCACACCCATGGCGGCCATGCCCCAGGTGCCGTCAGTACTGGGAGGAGCCAACGTGCCCAGCATGGGAGCCATGCGCAGGCGCCACTCGGACAAATACTCCATGCCTTTGTCGTCGGGTAGGACCAACTACTCAGCACTGCACACAGCACCACTTCACTCGGAACAAACTGGTAGCTAGGATGTATTTTTGCGCGTTTTTAAACTTGACGTTTTCCACTTTTTGTCATGTTACATCCAAAACTTTGGATATATGTCACTGGGATTTTATGTGATAGAGTAACATAAAGTTATGTGTGATTATAAAGTGGCAGAAAAAATTAATGATTTGCACTTTATTTTATTTTTATTTATTTTTTTACCAGTGAAAGTTTCTTTTTCTCATTTCTAGTCACCATTTCTGAGTTATTGTTGTGCAGAGCCACTTTTCTCTCATTCTATCAAAATAATTACAAAATCACTGAATTACATTTATTTGTGATCTACCATCTTTACACTGTTACCCATAAATAAAAACCTTTCACTTCACAATTATTTACTACTTTGTTTTTGTGAATTTTATAAAGTACATTTAAAACATGGTAGTAGCAGATTTATGCTACAGGGATGTTTCTCTTTAGTATCAATGGGGAAGATAGTCAAGGTGATGGTTGGTTGTAACGTGACAAAAATGTGCAAAAGTTCACCGGTAAAAATATTTTTGCAAGGCCCTGCAGTTATTTAACGTAATAACTGAATAAAATTGACTTTTGTTTCCTTCTAACCGAGTTTTAATTTAAAATTTAATCACTGCTGAAACAGAAAATTACAGCCAGGCCTCAACGCTAAGTGCAATTAATAGTTTGAAACTGAGAATCACACACACCTCACATCTCAGATGTACACAATCACAATGGCGTGTTTGAGAAGTCTGTTAGGTTTATAAAAGCAAGCCTGTATTTAATCACTCTAAATGTAAACAGACAAGAACTTCCTCTGCGCATAAATATTGCATGAATGTTAATTAAGTTCAAATAATGGTGGAAAAATACAATATTTATTACATTAGGACATCCCATGTATTAAGCTTTTGCATTTTAAACGACCCATCTTTGATGTTTATATTTACGCGTTTAGTGTGAAGCATAAATTATTCAACTTCACCCTAACTAACTACATGAATCTCATATATGGATATATAAGCGTTTAATGTCTCTCATGAGAGAGATTAATTAAAAATGCATTTTGTTAGACATGGAAAGTGCTGATTTGATGTGCCCTCCTTTTCAACCTGCCCCACCCTCTTTGTCCAACACCCCTCTTCCCTCCGACTCACCCCCACACCCGTCCTCACCCCCTCCCCAGTATTAATTTGATGAAACCTTGTGCAAATTCAGCACCTAAAGGTATCAAATTTGCCAATTATTTCAGGTGGTGACACAGTATTTATTTTTCCAGAGATTGCCCCAAACTACGAGTTTTATAAGAACGCAGATGTCAGGCCACCATTCACTTACGCAACCCTCATAAGACAGGTGAGTGGGAAATAAATTAACTTTCGCCTGATTAGATTTGAATTAATTGCTCCACCTTCTCTTGGCTTTGTCACTCTCAGCCGAGCCCGGCGTGATCCTTGTTTGGTGTCATTTTAGGCTATCATGGACTCCGCCGACATGCAGCTAACGCTTAACGAAATCTACAGCTGGTTCACGCGCACGTTCGCGTATTTCCGGCGCAACGCTGCAACTTGGAAGGTAATCCTGCTCTGCTCTTTGCTCCCAACGAGTACAAAACCTGAAAATGGCTCGAATTACTCTTCAGCACTTCTCCATTCTTTTTCTTCTTATTTATTTTTCCACCACAGCGCCTTTTCTGTTTAGAAATGACAGCTGGAAGAATCATCTCCCGCCCGCCCCCCACGTATCGTTTTCTAATTTGGTGCAATTAATAGCGGAGGCCCGGTGTAGAGAGGAGAGGGCTTTGACGCCCTAATTATACAGCAGCCACTTCATCATCAGCACCTTTTGTTAATACACCCCTCCTCCTGGTCCTGAAACCACCTTCTCTTGTATGTCCTGAAACCACCTTCTCTCGCATATCACTGGTTAATTGTGAGGAAGGGTGGCTGGTTTGCCCGTTAACCAGCTCTCTGGTGCGCAAATGCATAAACTGACTCCAAGAAAAGGGGTTAACTGAAGCAAGGAGGTTGGGAGGGGGGCAGGAAGTGAGAATAGGCCTGTCATGGAGGAAAGCGCTCTTTATTTACTTACACAAAAGGACCCCATTTGTATGTCTGTCACTACAACTTTATGGTCCTGTCCGGCCGCACAAAGATGGTGAAAAATGTCCGTCCCGCAGAACGCGTTTTCAGCCAGGAGTGTGTCTGCGTGCTGATAAAGGAAGCCCAGCAAGAATCTTCAACGTTTCATCCCGTGGCCCCTTCCGTGTCATCTGTTTTATTTTTTTTCCCCCTTCCTTTCTTTTAGCCTTTGTGGCTACACAGAGAGGACTGGAGGGAAAAACTCCCAACAGCCGCTCATCAGCATGCAAGATGTGTTGCGGCACTAGATTTAGCAAAGTGAATTAATTTGGATTTGGGATGCAAATGAGCACACGGGTGTGTGATCGCCAATCGGAGGGGGGCACGCGTAGAGATCAGCGCCCTTTTCCAGTTTGTTAGGTACAGTAGCGCACCACGTTTTGCTGCGTAAGACTGTTTTGACAGGGCATGTCTTTTGCCATGGAAAACATCAGAGCCTCTGCTGGTTTAAAACTGGTTTCACCTGTCGTTTCCCCCCAAATCAAGTCCCATTGTTCCGGTGACTTTAAAAACGTCTCCAGGTGATCTATTTACATCTGCAGCTCCACGACTCCCTTTGTAAGCATTAGCAGGATGATCAGCGATGGGCTTCTCATTTGATTAACAGAGTGAATGTGTTGGGGTTTTTTTAAGTATTGAGAGCAAAAAGAAATGAAAGGTAGTTTAATATCACAGCTTCGTCTCATCTCAAAAGAGGGGTCTGCCCCCCACCCTATCCCACTTTCCCTTTCTCTCTCTTTTCTCTCACCCAGAAGCTTATTAGTTCTAACTATATAGCATGCATAATAAAACTGCTCATTTGCTCATTAATATTAAAATTATCATATTCAGAGCCATGGGCATTAAGATCAATCAAATCATGGGATTTTCAGGTCAGATGCAAGATCTGCTTATGAGGTTTTTTTTTTTGAATCCCTTTCTTTTGCAGAAAGAGCTGTACACACCAAGCTAAGGGGAGATGATAAATATAAGAGACAGGGATATTAAAGCCGGGGTTATTATTTGTAGGGCCCGATGCATGCTTTAATCATGCTTATGTGGTCATATAATTTTCTTTCTTTTCTTTCTTTTTTTTCCTCCCCTTGTTTTAATTCATGCACAAATTCTGCTATTTTTAATTTTTAAGACGGCAAATTTGAAATGCGAAATGGAAAGAAGAATATTTGAACATCTTAGAGGTCTTACCCCCTCTCCAGCACACATATATATTCACACAATGATACGAGGCCTTCTAGGAGACAGTTTCCTTTTTCTTTCACTACTGTCATCTTTAAAGCGATGTGTCCATTAAGAGCTGTGCTTTTCTGGAGCAGGAAGGGTTACTGACATCACCATTATCAAGGCCGGCATTACCACTTCTGTCACCAGCATAAGCCATTCGCTATGCTGATTACCTCCTTTTAGCCTACTTACTCTGATTGATATGTACTGTGTGCAGGACTTGTAAGAGCATTCACTCTCACTCAATTTTTACTAATTAAATCAATGGTGCGTGAATGTTAAGAATTTCTTCGAAATGTAAAAAAAAAGAAAGAAAAATCAATTTCTAGGCCTTCTTTTTTTCACTTTTCTTCATGATGGAAAATGAATGAATATGATTTGTTTTACCTCATCCTGCCTGACCTGCGCTTGTCTTCTCCTCTCTCTGCAGAACGCCGTTCGCCACAACCTGAGTCTTCACAAGTGCTTCGTGCGCGTCGAAAACGTGAAGGGGGCGGTGTGGACGGTGGACGAGGTGGAGTACCAGAAACGCAGGTCGCAGAAGATCACAGGGTAAGGGTAGCGCCACTTACCTTCTCCCATGCAAAGGTCCCAATATCCCTTGAAGGTTTTCACACATTGCCACAGACTTTAATGCAATATGAGTGATTTGATGTAGTGGCCCAAAACATTATTGTGAAACAAAAGGAAGAAAACAAATTGAGTTTTTGTCTGAACTAACCATGTATCATGGTGTCCGAGTAAATTACACAATATTGGGCATTACTCGTCTAAACATTTCTCAGTTGGAATTGGATTTTATTTCAGGGTTTCTGAGTAAATGGGTTTGATTACAATTGGACGCCACACCTTTCAGAGTCTTATTTTAAGAAAGAAGTTAAAAACCTTACAAAGTTTCCGACCAAATGACAAAACCCCAATAATGTCGTAGTGTGACAGTTTGTTGATATTTTCTAAACTAAAGTTTGTGATATAAACATGTGACACTGCAAACAAAATGTGGATTAATTTAAATAGTTTGCAAAGTTTGACAATTATATTACAGTGTGCCATTTCCCTAAAATTACGCAGTCAGGGCAAATAAATCTGTCTGCAAACTATGTTACAAAGACGAGGTCAAGCATTGCATGATCAATGTTTACATATGAATTTGTTTTGTTTTTTTGGGTTTTTTTCCACAGAAGTCCATCTCTCGTGAAGAACCTTCCATCCAGTCTTGGCTACGGAACGGCGCTAAACGCCAGCTTACAGGTAGAACTCCACATCAGATCCTGCATTTAGCATAAAGCGGAAGCATCATTCTTCCCTCTTCTCTCCTCTCTCACACACTTCCTCCACTCCTCCCTTCTTTCTTCCACCTTTAGACCCAGAAGGCCACCCTGTGGTCAAACCGAGCAGAATGTCTTCCTTCCCTCTCCCCGCTCTCCTCCCCTTTCTCCCAGTTTGTTGCAGCCACCTTAGATTGATTGTGGCATGTGCAAATGCAGGGGCATGTGCATTAATATTTATCTAAGCTGTCATAAATGATTTGGCTTCATAGTGTACGCCAGCGAGGTGCTCATGGCAAAAACTTTAAAAATTTAATCACTGTATATAACTTTAATGCGTAGCAGGCTAATGTGTCAGGAGTTTTTATTATTTTGAGGTAAAGTTTTTGGGAGCCTTTATTTTATTATTATTATTTTATTAATACATAACCACTCCACACAAAGGCATTTGAATGGCAGTTACTGGGAGGTAATCTGCAAGCTTTCCACACATGGGAAAGATTTCTTGCAACATAATAAGAGAAGGATATTGTATTTTAGTAATTGCCATGGTAAATCATTTTATTCCCTCAGCTGTCTCTTTTTTCACTCTTCACACTGCCTCTCAGCCACTAAATACCTTCTGTCTTTGCAAGCCATTTATTCACCCAACATTTTATGTAATTATGCTTCATATGCTTCTCATATTTCTTGTTCCTTAATAGTCGCGCGTCCCTCATTCTTTACCTTTACCCTCACCAGCCCGTGCCCTCTTCTCTCTCTCATTCTTGTTCCTTTTTTTTTTTTTTTTTTTCTCCGTCTCTGCAGGCTGCTCTGGCGGAGACCTCTCTGCCGTTGCTGGGGACCCCCGGCCTCATGAGCAGCGCCGCGGGGCCAATGGGCGGCAGCTGCCACGGCCTGCTTGGCGGTGACCCGTCCGGACCGACTGGCGGCAGCCCGCCCGGACTGTTGGGAGGGAGTCCGCCTGGTTTGTTGGGGATCAGCCCGCCAGGAACGCTGAGCTGCAGCCCGCCGACCATGTTGCAGTCTGCCCACGAGGAGCTCAATGGCTCACTCGACCACCTGGACACCAACGGACACAGCAGTCCTGGATATTCCCCTCCAGTACACATGTGAGTATGGGAAAAGAAATTGCCACAATTGTTTAGTTTTGTAGTCTTAAGAATCCTCCTGCTTTTTCACTTTTACTTAAGAACCACAAAGTGTTAAATGAAGTTTCCTGTTTAGATTGACAGAAAGCAAAGCATAATTGGTTTCAAATTAAAGCTTGAAAAGTGCAGAATGCATTGAAGAAACTAGAAAAACTACAGCATTAGACCAAAAAATAAATAATTAATTCACAATCTAAAAATGGAAAAAAAACATGGCTGCAAAACCTACTAGGAAGTGATCTAGTAGCCACTTGGTCCATGATAACCGGAGGAGTTCAGAGATTGTCTGTTAACAACTATTATTGATCCTTTCCTCAAATTTCAACTTTTGATTGGGCAAAAAAAAAAAAAAGGCATTAAGTTCTTTTGCAGTTCTACATCCTATTAAAATTAGACTAAGATTGGACTTTGTGGACTACATCCAAAACGATCTCAGAACATTCCATCCTCCCATATAAGACACAGTGATGGCAGGATTATGCTGTGGGGATATTTTCCTCAGCAAGGATGGGAGAGCTGGTCAGAAGCGAAGTCGAATGAAGTCAAATACAAGACAATACTGAAATAAAAAAATAAGAGCTTGCAAACCCTTGAGACTGAGCAGAGGTTCTACAAAGTATTAACCAAAGAGGGGCGCTCTGGTGGGTTCCAGTCCTGACCACTATTATCATAGTGGTCAAATAAAGACCTTACTTCTGCAAGGAACTGTTTTTCCACAGTGCAACATTAAAAGTATGACTTTATAAAGACGTGCAGAATAAATTGCACCGAAACCACCTAGATAAATCTCCTCTCGCCCACAGTGCGAAATACATGAAAAAAAATTAAAAGAAATGTTTCGTTTAAATGCTTTGGAATTTTTAACAGCGATAAAAGCGTGCCAATTTCCACCTTACAGATCTGTAAGTGTTCTTGTTTGATAATGCAAGCTAAAGCTGCCTTTCCCACTTCCAAGCGCCCACCTCCTGCTCTATGTTGCTCTAATTGTCTGACATTTAACCCCCTGAATCAGTGTCTGTTTAGTTAGCACCGACCTCAGGGCAGAGCTCAATTTCTATGCTGGATTGCATTGTGAGCAGACTTCCCTCTCTCTTTTAGTGGGATTTTACTGCCTTTGTGGTCGTACATTTCGAGTCTATATATGTGGGACCTTGTCATCAAACCACTCTGTACATATTAGCTGCTTTTTTTTTTTTTTTTAATGGAGGGAGGACTGGTTGTATTAAAATTTAGCAAGCATAGCACTAATTACTTTAATCTTCATCTTCTCTTTGTGTGGCTGGGAGAGAGTGTTTGTGCTCGACTTTCAGAAACGTCCAAGCCACACGCACACACACGAGGGCTACAGTTTGAAACAAACACGCCAAAGATATCCTTTTAACGCTTCTTATGTTCTGCCTATCAAAGCCTCCGTTGCAACATTAGCTAACCATTTGTGTAATGGATAAAGGATGCTTCCCACTGCCATGTGAGTAAATGTATTTATGAGAAAGGAAGCGTCCATACCTTAATATATTTAGACGTGTTTACCTCTCCTGAAAGGGGGTGCTAAGTGAGGCAAATTTGCCATGCTCCTGACAGACTCCCGGTGTTTGCACTCCCTGAGGTCATTTAATTTTCAGTAACAGGACAGCGCAGACTTTTTCCCATTTCTCCTCCACCCCCCCCCCCTCTGCTTTCCGCGGCCACGTCGTCTCGACACTGACACGAGTTGTTATGGGGGACGAGAGGCACCTAGCCCCAGCCCTCCCAGCCTGGCCTTTTTTCACGCAGTCCACAACAACCTTCGAAATGGAAGAAATGTGTTCTCCCGCGCTACTTTTCGCTGTACGCGCTTAAATAATAGAGCGGCTCGCGGCACTAAACTAAATAGTACATCACCTCGAAGACCTGTTTTGGGAGGAGAGTCGTCAGCACAACTGAGTCCATTCAGCTGTTAGACAAACCTCCTCTTCCCCTAAATGTCTAAAGGTTAATGATGTCTGCTTAACCACAGACCAGCTTGCCCTGGGCCATGCTGGCTGTGTGTATGTGTAAGTATGCATGTGTGATAAACTCATGTTCACCCTGAGGGGTTCTGCTTAAAAGAAGTGGTAACTGTTATAACCAGGAAGGCCTGAACTTACAATTAGAGCTTCCAACTTCTCTCATACTCAACACAATGTGTCAAGGCCCAGTTATTCTGTTTGTCTCATGTTTTTAATAGTTTTGTGTCCACCTCTCATTGGTGTGATGAACATCTTTCTATTATTTCTGCCCCTTTCCTCTTCCTACCATTGACCTCCTGGACTAATGACCTTATTTTCATCCCTCGCCTTACCTCCGCATGGCTTCCAACGCTAATCTCCGCTTGATATGAGAGCAGGCATCTCAGCGTATTTATTACAGCACATTTCAGGCCGGCGTTTACTCCTTGAGTGACTCGATAATGGCATCCGGCCATTAGGCGCTAAATGGCTCATCCACATATTTTAATAAAGCGTTGGAAAGCCGAAAGCGAATACGGCAGCTCGTAATTTCCTTCTTTTCTTTTTTCTTTTTTTTTTCCCCTTGTCAAGCATCCAAACATCCTAATGAGGATTATTTTAATAGTGAAGAATCATTCATATTTTTGATATGACTAGAATCAGAATCTTCTCAGGAGTGTGTTCTCGTTGTGTTATCTGACGTCAAAGTATTTGAATTTAAATGTGTGTGAAAATAGAAGAAGTGTTCGCCGAATGAATACTTTCATTCTCCTTCCGTGATGTTTTTCTCGTCTGCAACCAACCGCCCCCTCCTCCGCCCCCGACCTCCCTTCCTGTAAATCCGCAGGACAGAAACAGAAATATTCATCGCTCGGCTCGAATCCTCTTAAGATCTTCTCATCCCGACCACATCAGAATATTAATTTACAGTATTTGGCTCTGAATATTAAAGTCATCTGTACCTTTTAAAAATTCTTTTCAAATTCAAAAAGGCCCCGGCGCCCTGCCTCTCCACCCCCCCGCTGATGAAGGCGGCCCAGGAGAGACGCATCCTAACGTTGCCGCCGCCGCCGCCTGATAAGTCTCCCTCTCCTCTTTCCGAGTCTACTGGGATTTTCTGATGCATCCGATGTGTCAGAAATAATTAGGTTTTGTCAGATTTATCATCGTTGCACAAACCCTTCTCCCCGACTAGGGCTCCGGATCATGTTATGCCTTGTTTGTGTGTGACAGCATTATTATTCTTGTTAGCTGCCCAGCAGCTTTCTTCTTTTCCTTTTCCACCCACTCCTGTGTTGTTCTGAAGGAAAAAAGGCATCCTGTGCTGCTTCCTGGCCAGCGCTTATTGACAGTGGCTAAAGATATTCATCCATTTAGAGTTAAAAACATGTATCATGGTGTCCGAGCAAACTGCCGGGGCTGAAGTTGATTAATGGCAGAAGCAAGCTGCTGGTTTTTCCTCTTGAGGAGCGACACGCCACAGCCTCTGCATATTAACGAGTGGCTGCGCTTTCTATTAACTAGATAAAAAAGCCTCTCCTCTGCCTTTGCTCCAGGGGGCTGAAGGATGAGAAATTCTCCATTATTTATCATGTGGCCTGTTTCCCCCCCGCCTCCCTTTTTTTTTTTTTTTTCATGTATTTCAACCTGGTGTCATCAGTAAACTTTTAAATGCCAAACATGTCTGGAACATCACAGCTTATCGGCCTTACAGGGGCCGTGTTTTTCATGCAATTTTCATGTGCTTACTTACAGTAGACGTGAGGCATCATGTCGAATTAGCGTCTTGCAAACAACATGGTTTTTACTTTCACCAGATAAAGCGTGTCACACGAGTTGGTTTTATTTATTTTATATTTTTTTTGTTACAAGAAAATGTCAAATTGTAAATCAGGGGATGGGTTAGAAAGAGATTCTTACTATGAGGTCACATTAGGAAAACATCTTCAATTTTGTTTTTTTTTTTACACATACAAAGTTCTTTGTTGAAGAAAAAGTTGAAAATAATCAGAACATTAAAAAGCGTTATAGTTAAAGAGCTAATTGCATTTAATTGTTGCTTCAAAGTGTTTATAGTGCTGAATATCTCCCCTTTTTCAGTAGCAGATGTCCTGTGAGTCGGCCAATCTACATAGGTAGCTTGAGCAAAATAGCCAAATTTGTCTTTCTTGCAAACATGCAGCACACAACAACAGATTAATGGAAGTGGCATGTTGCTCTGTGCTCCACATAGACAGGAAAAACTCCAGCACTCCTTCACTTTTCCGTCTGTATCATCAAAATGGGATGATTTGATCCAACTAGATCAAATGATCCCGTTTAAACTAGATGGTTTGATCTAATTTGATCTAGTTGGACATTGACCTTACATAAACATTTCAGTCACAAAATCAAATTTCCGTACAGGAAACTTTGATTGGTTAGTTTAATTCATTAGTTATCAGATGAGAAATGACATTTGGTCACTAAGAAAAAGTTGAAAATGAAATATTGGTAATGATATTTACCAGTTCCTGGATCACCAGAATGGTTTTCCTTTAGCTTCTGAGTAAAGACTAACGCTTGTCTGAGAATATTTGAAAAATCTGACATCTACGTGCCTCTGTCCTTTTCCTCACAGGCCACCTGTTCACGTGAAAGAGGAGCCGCTCAACATGGATGACGACGACTGTCCGATGTCACTCGTGACGACGGCCAATCACAGTCCGGAACTTGACGACGACCGGGAGCTGGAGGAAGGGAACCTATCGGAAGACCTTGAGTGACTAGGATACGATTTTTGGTCAATGTGTCCCACCATTCTACCGCACTGTTTCTCTTACACAGACCTGCAAGGCTAGAAACCACTCCACCGTCCAAGAACCCACAGCTGACTCTCTTTCTCACCACTGGGACTATTTATTGAGCATGTATCTGGATAGAGACCAGTCCAGAGGAACTCTTTGTTGCAGACCTTCTGGATTCCCCAAACATGACAGACATGAGATGTCTGTCATCTGTTCTTGTAAAAAGAATCACAAGACGAAAAAGAAACTCTCTAAGACCTGTTATATGTGGGGGGGTGGCGCGAACACATACAGTGAAAGGATGATGGACGCATGGATGGGGGAGGAAACATGAGACAAATAAGCAAATCATGTTCTGTTGAAAGCTCGCGGCCTCCTATACTGCCAAAAAAGGAAGACGTTTTACGTTTGTGAATAACCCAACCCACAGTAGTTGTTAATGTCTAGAGACAATTGCTGGTTCAATTCAAATTGTTGCTCTGTTATCATTTGCACAGGAGTAGTCTCGGAAAATTGTGTCACTGCCTGTATGTTGCTACTATTATTAAAATCAGCATATTATTTTTTAGCTTTTTTTTTTCTTTCTTTCTTTCTTTTTACCATTGTTAATTTCCAGATCTGATTTATAGACACCACCAACTGTAAATGCCATCCCTCGAATCACAACTGCAGTACCAAGACTGTTTTCGCAACTGTTCAGAGAAAAAAACAAACAAACAAAAAGACAAAGAAAGAAAAAAAAAACAAGGGACAAAAAGTTGGCTTCCAGTCTGTTGTGTGTTTGTGATTAAAAGTCTAAAATGAAGTTGGAAAAATAATAACAGTTTGTGTAAAAAAAAAAAAAAAAAAAAAAAACGCCATTTACAAAGCGAATGCATTTCTGCGAAACTTTCCTCTTGCTCTTCTTACCTCGGCGTTCTAAAGCTTTGTCTACCTGCAAACAGTGACAGGCAACAGCTAAAAACCAAAGCCAAACTCTAGCAATGGCCAATAGCTTACAGGCAGAAGCCACCAAACTCCTCTTTTTTGGCCTCACCTTCTGAGACTTTAAACTAGTTCAAAGATAAGTTTTTTTTGTTTTATTATTATTTATTTATTTTAGTTTTTCTGTCCACAAACTACCTTGGAAAAACCTCTGGGATTGTTTCATTTAGCCCTATACAAAGATGGTCAGTGCAGAAACGAGTGCTGATTCTTCATGTGTAATTTGGGAACTCATAAAAAAATAAAAATAAAAAAAATGTCTACTCCGGTTACCTTCTGCCAGGCATTCTGTCTGTGAAATAACCATAAAAGTGGACCAAGACCAAAATAAAACATTTGTGTATTCAATAGAAGTGCAAAAACATCTTGATGTTGTGAAGGTTATGTTAATTTTTTTTTCTTTATTTTTGTTATGCATTACACATTGAAACTCATTGTTTTGTTTTGTATACAAACCTGTTGGAGATCATTTTGTTTTAGGTGGAAGCGTCCGAACGCATTCACGTCTTCACTTCTGTGGCGGTTTTTGTTCTGAGCTGCGTCAAATCGAAAGAAAAAAAAAACTGAAAACACTACTAACCAAACATGAAAACTATCTAGTGAAGCCAAATAAGTCATAATTTCAAGTTAATATGAAATAATGTGGCTTGGTTAGCATGGGAAAGCAAACAGTGATAGCCATTGTGGAAGGGGAAAATCTAAGGTGACCTTTTCTAGGTAAGATTTGCTTTAACTTCATCCAGCCCTCATTATGTGGCTTATGGATTTGAAACTTTACAGGTTTATACACACAAGTGTAATCTGGATAGGTGGTTAGATTTTATTATACATTTTGTACTTCTAGAAGAAGAAGTACTTCCTGTTGTTTTCCTCCTGTAAGGCTGCATTGAGCGCTGGTCATTTCGCCCCTTCACCATTTCGTACTTTTGCAGTTTCGGTCGTTTCGCATCTGACTTTTTCAGGACTAAAATCTGCCGGTGGACATTTTGTGTCAACCATACACCAATTCGTATCCACTTTGACAACTAAAAGTGATTTTATTTAATTTGCTCGTAGTCTGTTGTAAGGAAGTGAGGTTATTTGACACCATGTTGTATTTGGTTGCTGATACAGCCACAAACAATGGGAAAAGAATGCAATTGACTCAAATTACAAGTGACACTTCTTAAACATTTTATGTCCACACTTGATGGAATTTACTGAACAATAACTAAACTCATCTATCCATAAACTTTGTTGCCACCATGTTGGTAGACAGAATTGCTTTAGGCATGACAGGGAGGGGGTATTTTTTCATTATTATTATCGTTATTTTTAAATATCTCGCAATGGTTATTTCAATTTTGGGATAAAGGATGCTCCAATCATAAAGACAGTTCAGCAAAGTCCACTTCTTACTACATCCCAACAGTGAGGACATGTGAAAGACCTCAAACAGAGAAGTTACTATTTTTATCCAAATAGTAGTTTAGTTTCTATTTGATTGTCTGGAAGCCATAGTTATTGTGATTGTCTAGTATTGAGCTTGCCTATCAAAATGGCGGACCACGTCCGGTTCAGGCGTGCCATAACTATGTATTGAAAAGGGGAGACAGGAGGGTTAGGAATGACGATGTGTCGGTACGAAATGGTGAAGGGGAAAAGTGACCTCCCAAAGTGTTGTTGCTTTAATGGTCATTTCTGTTTTCAGTAAACCAAAGTTACACAAAATTCTGCCTCCTCTTGAACGGGATAAGCCGTAAAACTCACACCCATGCCCTGTTCGAGTCTGGCACAAAGACATACAGAGACCAGGTGGTCAGCTTTACCGTCCTTCACATACGCAATGGCTTTTTAAAAGAGCGACACGTTGAGCTTCGTTCTGAACCAAAATCTGAACCGCACTGTGCGTCCGTTGCTTTTGAGTTGTCAGGCCAGAGCTTAAAACACACACACTGTACAAAAGCACTGCTTGTAGGCACATCCTCAGGCGCCTGAGAGCCGGTGCCGCGTCAAGAGGCCAGGAGTCAGGACGCCGACTCCTTACGGAGGGATAGAAATGACGTTCTTAATAATCGTATTCACACCAAATAAAAAGGGCGCTTCGTCTTTCATTTAAAAGGAAAAAAAAAAAAAAAAGGGTTCTCCCATTTAACCCTGTTTACCCCTGCTCCCCCACCCAAAAAAGGCTTTCCAAAAGCTTCTACCTCTGCAGAACAACTTCAGAACAACCACAACAGAGTGCACGAGTTTCGAGAGCTGTCCCACTTTCCCCCACTGCTTGTCTTTCATAGGACGTGGCTCAAAACCAACGTTTACATTCCCTGCGTCAGGATACATGGAGGAGTCGCATTGTGATAGGTGGTCTGCAAACATTTGTAGAATGATAATGTATAGATTACCTGTAAGGGGAATATTGTGGGTTTTTTTTTTTAAAAATGCATGTCTAAAAATCATTTGGTGGACTGGAAACAAAAAGAAATACAATAAAACTCATCGGGACGATGGCCTACGTGTTGCAATGCATAGGAGTGCATTACCTCAGAGGGATAAAACCTGTCAGGCACAGAATGCATATTACCTGTAGATTTGCATGGGTTTTGTACAAATTAAGTAAAATTTAAAAAAAAAAAAAAAAACATGTCTAAAATAGTTGCTTGCACATAATACCAGAAAGACCTCCAGAACTGCGATCTGCTCCTCCACTAGATTTTAGGATTGTCTGGATTTTCTGGGTTGATTTTTGTCTGTATTTTGATAACTGTGCATACTTATGTAAAAAGGAAAAAAGAAAAAAAAATCATGTCGGTGGACCCATGAAATTTACCAGACTTTTTTCTAAGAGGGAAAAAACGAGAAAAAAAAAAGAAAGAGAGTTCTGTGTTTCTTTTCTGACTTACCTGAATTTTTACTGTTTCTCTCTCATTGCTCGCTAAGAATAGCAAACCTGCTTTTTCTGCATCTGCTTTGCGTAGCTGTAAGGCTTTAACCTAATGTGTGTATTTATTGCTTGTACCTCTGTGCATACTTTATGAAGCATTATGTCTGGCAGTTGAGTCATGTATCCTTTCTACTGCTATCCTTCTCTAATAATTGAGAATATGATCCCCCCTATGTATACAGTAAATTGGGACTGTAGCAAACATATGTTTATGTAATTGGTGATTTTCTGTTCTTATGCTCTTTTACTTTAATCGAGATTCAACAACCTTTTTTTTTTTTTTTTTTTTTTTTTTATACTTCTCATTCCTGTGTACTGTGTCCATATGTTAAAGGTTCTCTGACATTAGAAGGTCATGGTTGAGAATTGTACCAGACATTATTTTCTGTATTCATGGCATTTCACTGCTGAATAAAATAAAGGACCAAAACTTGGAATTTGAAAAAGCAACTGACTACCTCCAGCATGAGAGAGTAAATCATTTCCCTCTCCGCAGTTGCACATTTATCTTTTATTCCACAAAGGCACAGCCATAAAAATCTAGCGTGGCATTACACATTTAAGGTTTCAGGGGCTGCTACTTCAGAGAGATAAAAAAAATAATAATAATAATAAAAATTTAATGTATATGTTACACTTTTTCCTTCTTCTTCTTCTTTTTGGGCAGCCGGAGCCTTGTTTAGAGGAGCAGGACATGGTAGTGCATTGCTCACCCCTTTGGACCTGTAATGGGTTTTAGCCTGTGGGTGATTCAAGCCCACTGCTTTCATGTAGCACAAGGATGTCCCAATGCAGACTGAACCTAAGAAGGATTTCCATACAGCGAAGAAGGAGGCACAGGCCGGTTACTTTCCTCTGGTTTCAAGTCAGTTTGGTTAGTCGCCCGGGAAAATGCTGGAGTCTTTTGACTTTTCCATGGCTCCGTGGAGCGTTAAGCAAAGCGGCGATCCCCCTTCCTCACCTGTTGCTGTGCAACGCCAGTCAGTTCCTTCCAGTAGGAAGCCTTCTACACTTGCTCCTTGTTTTGGAGATATTGTCCAAAGATATTGTCTCTCGTGTACGGAAATATTTCCAGTTTGGAAAATATGAAAAATTATCTATTCTTTGGAAAAAGCTGTTCAAAAGACTTCCTTGTTTTAATTATTATTATTTAAGAAGCCAGTTTGCTTGTGAGACGTCCTGGGAACATCTCACCGGACGCATTCCTCCAGGCACGCAGTTTCTTTTTTAAACAGTAGGTGCCACTTCAGCTCAAATCTGGCATTTTTTTTTTTTTTTTTTTTTTTTGACTAGATGGAAGCAGAAGAAGAGTGTGAAGCAGAAGCTCACCCCCTAATTCAAGGCCCGGTCCCAAAACTGGCACTGCACCCATAGAGGGTGTTGAGTACATCCTCCTGTACGGAGAGTGTACTCAACCAAAGTGAAGACAAATGTTCCAGTTTGCAGGTTACACGCATGTAAAAATGTGAGAACTGTGCAAACATCCGAGTAAACACAACAAAACCAACACGGCTTGCAGCTGTGACTGTTTGTGCCACAGAGTCAACTGACGTGGTGAGTTTGTGAACATCACAAATCGACGCTCTTCACTAATTGAGGTAATGCTGATTTGAAACTGCATTTGATCTGAGTCCTATCTTTCCCATTGTTTTGAAGTTCTTTTGATCTGATGCTAGAGAAATTGCCATTGACCAGAATAATAAAACCCCAGCCCGTCCCCCACCTGTTAACACACAGATGTTGAATTTATTCTTGTAGAAAAAAAAACATTTTCATGGTGCAGAAATTGTCTTTCTTATTGATGATGCAGTTTTAAAACTGAAATGATTCAACTAGGACTAGAATGGTCTGCCTGTTACTCACCCAAATGACCAAGCTTGACTAATTAACCAGTAAAGTCATGTTTACTTTAAAAAGTAATACTAACTGAAGTATTTCACATTTATGCTTGTACTGGAATCAAAACAAGTTGTTATAGACAAAATTGTCCCATCAAGATGGTGCATCATTTCAACAGCAGTAGGAAATGTTGTAAAACTCAAGGATCTCATGCAGGCCCAGGGTCGAGGCACAATTCGCATTATTGTGTCTGTTGGTCCAACATTTTAAATGTTTGACCATCAACGTTCTGCATCACGCATATGGGAAAAATGTATTGCACTAGATGTCCTTCATTTTCCATCTTCAAGACAGTGGTTTCCTCTTAAAGGCGGAAAAAAACACAAAAAAACAAACTCCACTCTTCGTCCCTACGATTGATGGATGTTAGCTGGTCTGACAGGCCATGGGGCTAAATCAACTCCAGCAGACTTACCACACCTTGCCGGTCACGGAGCAGTCGCACACTGACACACTCATTGAGATTCGAGCTGAATCCACCATGACCAATGTGTTGCCCATTAGCTCGTCTGTACGCCGAGAACCTTCTGCACGTTCCAAAGGATGCTCAGGAGGGACATTGTGGGAGTCTATTGAATCCCATCCGCTGGTCATTTAATCATAACCTCCGATGCATGTTCTTTTGGCCTTGCCATGTGGTGTCCCATGAGAGGTCAGAAAACAACTGCACTTTTCATAAAGGCGCGCAGACACACTTGTCCGCCCTCCGCCCCACCCCGCCCCGATGACAGTCTTCGACATCAACTGTGGCAAGCTCCTGTTATCGCCTCAGCAAATGGTGTTCCAGGGCATTAGTCAACTCGCAAGGCGCTTGTCTTCCATGCTGTTTATGCACTCGGAAGTGTTTGTGAATTCAAGTGAGGCGTTGCATACGAGGCGCAACAAGGGCCGCTGTGTACTGCGCAACATCAGAGGGAGCTCCAACATTAAAGTGGGCAGCGCAGCCTTCTATAGACCCTTCTTTCAAAGGCCATGAAATAATAATGGGTTGTGGTTAGAGAGGTATCCGTGAGTCACACTGGTTGCTTTTCATAAAGTGGAGTTATTTACAGTGCGATGAATAAAAGAAAGGGTAGCTGGTGGTGCAAGCCTTTTCCACATGAATGGTTGGGAGGAATAAGTCTCCTCTAATACAGAGTGGCAAGGCATGGACGTATACTCCAATAAGTGGAGAAACAAACAGCTGTTTTGAGGGGCATTCAGACAATTATTGGAGGCTTGCTGATGCTGTTTTGATTAGGTTTAGCTACACTTAGAGGATATACTGATTCAATATTTTCCTTAAGACTCAAGTTGTTTGTTGCCAAAAGGCTCCATCGGACCAGAGTCCAGTTAAAGAGTAGAGCAATTCCCTAACAATTGTGCTACTGATAGTAAGACAGAAAAGCCTTTTTTCCTTTACCATTCCAGAGGGAACTGATTTGAATTTAGTTTGAGGAACTTGCACTCCGACGTGGCTTAAATCTCAGCACGTTGCTCCATTGTCTCACAACCTACTTGTCTGAACGAGACTCTGCATCCAGGCATCATTTGTCTCATCTCCAGCATCGACCAATTAGATCAATTTATGAGCCGTGCCCTTGTGGGGCCGGCTGGTAAATATCTCTAGTTTCAGCTTATTGATTAAGAGAGGAGACCGTCTCGGTCACTTTCTTTTCCTCCAAAGCCCTTCTGACCCGACGATGCGTGTCGGCTGCCTGGAAAGACCCAGGGCCCCCGGGCAGCAAAAATTGCCTGCTAAATAGTCCGAGGCAACGGCAACGCTAATTGAGATCATCATTATTATAATTGCGGGCCCTGAAAAGCACGTCTTAACTAATTTGCATTGCTCTCAAGTTGATATTGGACCCGGTGCAAAAATAATTGCATGGCTCAGAGGCATGACGTTTGGTTCGGTGGTGGGCAGAAAGGGGGGACGCTCGAGCCCCGTTCCTCCCCCAAACCCAGCTTTCACAGGCGAGAAGGTGGTCCTGAAGCGACGCCGGATTCATTCAGATGTTTGGTTCTCATGTCAAATGCTTTTTAAGAGAAAGTGAGTTACCCTGTTGTTTTTCTTTAGATAATATTCTGACAAATCAAAACCAAATTGCTTTGCAGTTTTTTTCTAAGATTTGACCAAGTTATTTTTTTTTATTTAATTTTGTTTTCCGGGACATTTTGTGCTATGCTTATCTCTGAGCTGATTATGAAGCCGAACATAATGTCCATAATTTTGTGACATCGTAGCACAAACTTCAATCGGAACTTATGTGATAAATCAACACAGGGTGGAAGCACATCAATGTGAGATAAAGGGAAATGATTCAACTAGGCATTCCTCTGATACCCCTAAACAAATCCAGTGCAACCAGTTGACTCCAAAAGTCGCACAATCGGTAAATAGAGTCCATTTGGTCACGTTCTCCAATATTGGTGTGGGGTCGCAAAGTCGGGAAAGCTGATCAAAGTTAATGGATAAGGATGATTGGAGCTAAAAAATTCCTTTCCGTCCAAACTTTGGTTGGCCTGTCACACAGAATCCCATCAAAACACGCTGAAGTTTGCGACTGGAATGTGACCGAATGTGGAAGACGTCAAGCGTTGTGAGCGACTCAAAGGTGGCGTCGCACAGACCGAGACAGAGAGAAATCTGGGTTTCCCCGACTGAAACGAGGGATTAACCCAACAAAATGGTGAGAAAACGCTGAGGTTCCTGAATTTGTGCCTGTGGCGTCATCAGCCACACATACACACACACACACATCCCGTGTGGTTTCTGCAATCCCCCCTCGTGGAAATGAACGCTTGATAACAGCACTAATGAATAAAATACATGTAGCATGATACAACCCATTGTTTGTTTGTTTTATGCCTCCACAACAACAACAATAACAACCCCTTGAGGGGAGATTATGTAAATCCTCTTAGGAATATCCCACGTTGCTTTTGTCAGAGGTTTTGAAAGCATCCCATTACTGTTTTGCTCCTTGTCTTATTAGTTGGGAGGGAAAAAAAATACACATTTTGAGGCGGAGAGGTTACGTTGAGGGTGTAAAGGAAAAAAAAACATTACAACTTAATCATTAATCCATTGTAATCACATCTGCTCTTAATCAACAATTCATAATGGAATTTATAATGGAGTGATTTCAATTATCTACCTCCACTGGAAGCGGCGTCGTTTCCCAAATTAAATTGGGAAACGACGCGTTTGAACGTCTTTGTCTAAATTTCACCTGTTTTAAGATTTAAAAGTTGTTTGTGGCATGGAGTTAAAAAAGGAAAAAGAAAAACAGCATTAGTGATGAATGGTGGGCTAAATCACTTACTGAAGATTTTTAATGACATTTCGGTGTTCCTTGTATAATTACTCTTCATCCGAGATGGGCCGTAATGCTGTTGGACAGTTGCGGTTCAGGCTCGCTAGCTCGCTTCATTAGCGTGTCATTCCCATTTCACATCAGAGGCTTTAATTGTAATGCTGAATATGCACAGCTCTCCGCCGAAGCCTAATCAAAAAGGACCCACTTGTATTATTAATATCAGAAATCA